TACATCCTGTATCAAGCACTCTATGTGTAAGGGCCCAGGTAATGCTGTTTAAAACAGCCTTGGCCATGGGCTTTGTATAGAGGTGACTAGAGATGACAAAGCCGCTACCCTGGAGAACTCCACGAGCCGTTCCCGTTAAAATCACCGGGCCCGTCTGCGAAATAGTTCTGCCCTGTGCAAACGCAGCAGAATCTGGCCCTGCCTTTTATACAGATGTGCCTTCCTTTTGCACAGATGGCTACACCCAGGCTGGCGTGTCAAAGGGGCACCTAGAGCCCCTGGGCTTGCACACGGGTCTGCACCAGAGAGACTGTAAAGCTAGTTCTTCATAAGGACCCTCTCCGACGGAGGGGAACTTGCTGCCAGGCGGATTCAAGTAAAACCTTCAGTCATTTGGGGAGGGCAGCCAGGCAGGAAGGCTTCCTATTGCTGCTTCACTGAGCCGAGTGCTGGAGCTGGGATTTTTTAAAGTGTAACTGGAAAAAAGCCATTCCCCTCTTGTCCAGGTCGCCCTCATCACCCGCATCCAGCAGCCGTGAGTGCGTAGGGCATGCAGCCTGGGGGGCTTGTGGCTCCTGCTAGAGCAGTGTGCTGTCCATGGGGTGTGTGGTCCCCAGCCACTTTGATGTTGGACTGCCCCGACAGCAACCGGCTTCCAGGTACAAAAGGACCTCCTGTCTCTGTTGTCTCTATCCCAGCAGAGCAGAGGCAAGTGGCGAGCAAACAGATTCCTAGAAAACCTCAGCTTGCAACCCTCAAGGTTAACACTGAAAAAGCATATAGATGCACCCTTAGTGACCTGCCAAAAGTGACGTTTCCCAAGCCTTAGCCCAAAGCCGCACTTGCACAAGACTGACTTTCTTCTCCCATCAAATCACCATAAGCCTGCATCTAAGTTACTTCCTCTGGCCAACCTCACCATATCTGAGGCTCCTGCATTTTATATATGCTAAAAAAAACCCCAAACAAAACAAAAACATCAGGACGTCTAATAGCTCATATTATTGTGGCATTTAAAGAAAAAAGAAAGTCTGATGCAAAGCCCATTGAAGGCAACGGGAGGCTTTCAGTCATTTGACTGGTGATGACTGATTTTGGGTTGGGGCTTTGGCCACAGAAAGGGTGCAACGCAGAGAGGGTGTGCAGCACACATTGCGCTTTCTCCCCTGCTTTTCAGGTGTGGAGCTAACAGTGACAGTGGTTTCTCCAAGGATTCAAAGGCATTACCCCCTGCTATTGTCACCAAGCAAGCACAGCTGGGGCTATTATTCAGGTAAATATATGTTAAAAAGGAGGCTGTCCTCATTGATGTAAGAAATGTTCTGCAAATATTGCTGGGCCAGCAGTGAAGAATGAAATCCCCTACTGCTAAATGGCTGCTATTTTAGGGTCTGCTTTGCCTGTCATTGAAATCAACAGGAAGTTTCAGACGGATGTCACCGGGAGCTGGATGAGGACTTTCAGGGCCAAACTGTGACTCCAAAAACCCAGTGACTTGGCTCAGATTTCCATCCCTGCTTCCCACTAGCTGACTCCATCTCCAGCTGCAACAGGGTGGGGACAACCCAAGGTCTGACTCATTGCAACAGGGTTTGGTACTGAACAAGAAGGTGCAGGAGGACACGCAGGGGGTGGGCAAACAAATGACAGGAAGCTAAATGGGACTCGCTGCACATCAGCTCCTCCATGGTAGCCACCCTGATGTATGATCTTATCCCACGATCAGTGAATGTTGCATGGTGGTAGCTTAACCCACAGCTCAGCTTACCACAGGGTAGGAGCAGGCACACGGGCAGCTATCGCAGGATGGCTGAGATGGGGGAAGCTCCCATCCCTTTTAACCTGCTGTGACTGGTTCATTTGTCCGTGCCGGTACCCAGCCCCTCCGGTCAGAGGGCTGCCTGACTTTTACTAACTGCTGTAAGGAATGGGAATATTTCCAATGCCCTTAATAGGTAGCCTATTAACTGGGGACAGGGGCAGATTCTGTTTCTGCATCAAACCAATGTGCCTGCTGTGATGATTACGGGCCAATTCTGGAACAAGAGCAGCCGAGGGTCCTTTTTAAAAAAAAGAACATAAAAGCTCAATGGTGAATACAGTTCTTAGCCCCAGACTGTCAGACACGTGCAAGGGAAGAAATAAGTATGAAGCCTTTCCGCCTGAGCGCTTCAAAGAGGAGGATTTTTATTTTTACTATTAAAAGATGGTGAGAAGTGTCAGACTGACTGTCTGGGAAAGGAAACTCCTCCTCTGAGTATGATGCAAAGCCCATTGAAGGCAACGGGAGGCTTTCAATCATTTGACTGGTGACGACTGATTTTGGGTTGGGGCTTTGGCCACAGAAAGGGTGCAACGCAGAGAGAGGGTGTGCAGGCTTCCTCATGCTACCTAAGCTTTCCCAGCCAGGCTTTCAAATGAATATAAGGGGAGTTCCCCTCCAGAGCTAACAGGGCTAAATGTTCCTCACCTCGATTGGCCTCTATAATCAGGTGCCCCACAAGGTTACCAGTCTTGGCTCCTTGTCCTTAGGAACAGGACAGAGCCCTGCCTGTCTTTCCATCCAGGCCACTGACTGGCTGTACCATTGTGGCAACTTGTAGACTCATATTAGCATAAGGTCCAAATCTCCCGGGCAAGGTTGGGACCCCATTTTGCTGGGAACGGTGCAAATGCCGATAAAGAGATACCAAGGAGCGCAGTTCAACCCCATGTGATTGGAAGGGAACGGCAGGGATTCTCCGATGAGGAAGACCATTCAGGTGTCTGTGAAGCCCTTGAGTGCATGTGCCCGAAAGCTTGCGACAGCAAAAAAAAAAAAGATAATTTTTTTTTGCTGTTTTCTAGGCGATAAAAGGTATCACCTCTGAACCACGAGTTTTAGAGTTTTGTATTCCTTCTTATCCACATGATACACCAGTTTCAAATTCTGTCTAACCGAGACCCTGCACATAACCTGTTTGCAAGGTGCCAAAGCTTGAGCTCTTTCACAGATTCACAGAGTTAGGGACCTCGCGAGATCATCAGGTCCAGCCCCCCTGCTCTGGGTAGGAAAGACTGCTGGGCTCAAATAACCCCAGCAAAGTGTGCATCCCTTACTCAGGCAAAACTCCCATTCTCTTTAAAAGGAGTTGGCCTTTTAAACCACTTCAAGGTTTGACCCTTTCTTTCACACTCAAAACCAGTGACCAAACAAGGATACTGAAAATAACCTGTTTTATTTTCTTGCCAGCCACTCTCCCACGCTAACATCGATTCCTTCAAAGAGCCGGAGGACTTCTGGCTTCTTTGCCAGCTGCTGTGCGGACGTTCCCGTGCAGTCCTGAGAGTCCTGAAGTCCGGCTTGCAAAAGGATGGATGCACAGGTGGCGTGTTGGCCGGAGCAGGCCATGTGCAGGGCTGTGGGAAGACAAGACGGTGAAAGGGAACAGAGCGGGGATCTGGATTCTGGGGGTGACACGGTGGAGGAAGATCCAGCAAAGAAACTGGCCAAGGCTGGGAAATGACTGCGACATATTTTGTCCCTGACCCAGGGCCTGCATTCTGCAGCGGCAGGACTTGAACATCACTGCTGGGCAACATTACGGAAAGTTGGGAAACGTTAATGACCTGCCATGAGCCCAATGAGCCATGCTCGCTGCACCCATAGTCAGCAGTCAGGTCTCTGAAGACGGCCTAAAATGAAGACGGAGTTTGGCCCAGCTGGTTGCACCAGGGAGATTGGCTTTGGCGACTGTTGCTGGAGCACGCAGAGAGGACAGCAGAGTGAGAGAGGCCTCCGGCCCTTGTTACTTGCAAGTGAGTTTTGGTTTGAATGAAAAGGGTCCAGAAGATGCTGGATGTGGCGATGAGTCTTCCAGGAGCATGGGAGTCAGCCCAGTAT